CAGCAGGAAGTGATAGAGTCTGTAAGCCATGGATATTAAAATAAGATCCTCTGTATCAAATATTGCGAATATCACGAATATCTATGAAATACTGAAACATATTATAAATTATTTATAAGATTACACAACACTTTTTTTTTTAAACAAGACTCAATAGCAGTAATCAGGAAATGTCAGCACAGCTACTTAATTCTTTGAAAAATTAAAGGCCATTGCAGCTTCTTGCGGTACCTTCTCAGTTAGCTAAACTAAGCAACTGCTTTCAAGTTGAGGGAAGAAACTTTCCCAGCCTTGCTGGAAGCAGTATAATTTCTGCAGCGGAGGCAGAACACGTGCAGAGCTCTGGGAAACTCCATTTGCTTCTTTTTCTCCTCGAGATGGTGGGAGCTGGGCAGGGGGCTGCCTGGCCAGGGGCTGATCCCGAAGCCAGAGCAGTCGCCATGGGCTGGTTTGCGCCGAGCTGCTGGCCTAGCAAGGCAGGGAACCCAACCCAGACTGAAATGGGTCCTCTCATCTACCACCTTGAGCGAGGCTTCTCCTCACACCATGTTAGAGCAGGAGTAGGCTGCTCATAACATTTCCAAATATAGTGTTTGCTCTACAGCAGACTAGTCTGTGTTGAGCCCACTTTGAGCAGGGTGTTGGGCAAGAGGCCTCCCAAGGTCCCCTGCCCACCTGAAAGATTGTGTGATTCTGTGACAAGGAGATGGCTTTCAGACTGCCTCCCCTTCCTCATCCTTAGCTTTTTGGGAGCCAACGGGAAAAAAAACATAAAGTGCACAGGAGCAAGTAGTAAAATACATAGAAAAGGTTCTTGTGGATTTGTGTTTTTTTTGTTTGTTTTTTAAATGAAATTAACGGTATTTTATTTCTCCTTTTGTTCTAGGTTACGCATTAGATCCTTCTATAGATAACCCTGAAGTTGCTACCAAATATATTGGTTCTGTAGAAGAGGCTGAAAAAAATCAAGGTAAATAATTCAGATTTTCATAAAAGTGATTTGCAACTGACTGTTATTTCCGTTACTTCTTCATTTAAAAACTGAATAGGTGTTAGCAAGGGAAACCAATACTGAAGCTTCTGGCAATCACACTCTTCTGAAGAGACAAGAAGTGAAAATATGTTGCAATTGTAATGTTAATAGGGAATGCAGATACTGAATTGCGCCTTTTTTATTTTTCTGAAATAGTGAATGTTGCAGGCTATCTTTGTGTCAAAATTGCAAATGGAGGTTTTCAGTTGGAACCTAACATGTGTCCACACACGGATAAATAAATCTCGATGTTTGTAACAGAGCTTTTCAGTCCTAAATTCTGGCTTAGCTAAAGTTACCTGTGTCCATATTACAGTATGTTAATGTTAAACTAATTGCCTGAGCTCCACTGAGCTCCAGTAGTGTATAGCAAACTGATCACTGTGCGATAGCACCTCTGGCCCCGCTTTGGGGATTTGCATGGTGTTGTTCCAGAGCAGAGTTGGGCTGTTTGGGAAGGAAAAACCCCTGGAAGACTGCCAAGTGGTAAAGGCATCGCCTGCCACCGAGAGGGTTGGCTGCCAGAGGCAATGGCTTTTGTAATTAATACTTTGATGCAAGATACTTAACACTCAAAGTGGCTTTTTTTACTTTGCAAACTTGTACCTGTATAAACTTTACAGCTAGTTATGCCTTCCCTAGTACATATTTGTTCTTTTTTAGCATATGTGCAATAGACTTGTATAGTAACTACGTTAGAAAGAAATGGCTACAGCTCAATTATTTAAAATATGAAAGTAGCTTTGATATTGGAATTTTATTAATTTATTTTAAGAAAATTTTGACTTCATAATTTATCATCCCTTGATATAATTATTGGAACTCTTTTTGGCTCCTTTCTACTAACTATTCTGATGCTATAGGAAAGCATTGTTTGAAAACTGCACTTACTTGTATGTGCAATTCAGTGCTTTACCCTGTCTTAACTTTTCGATTTTTGCTCATATATTTTTCTTCTTTAATGTTTTTTTTTTTTGACAAATGAAATTCTGAGAGCACAGCCTTTGTGCTAATGTAGCATTATATGAAATAACAAGAGAATGGTTGGATGCAAATTACTGGTTTCTCACTGAATTAAAATCCATGGAAGTTGTCATTGAGTGTTGTTTGGGGTGTTGTTTGGGTGCATATTTTACTGTTGTTTGGTTGGTGTTCATTTGTTTTTTGGTGCTATGTTTTTCATTGTTGTTTCCAAATTCGGAACAAGGAAGGGATCAGAAGTCAGCTGAATGGACTGATATTTTATTTAGCACCATTTAGTGTTTGAAAACTGATTTATTCATACAGTCTGCAGCCTTTCTGTTAAAAATGCATGGGTGCATGCATGGTTACATACACTGACAAGTCATGACACAGAGTTTAAGTGGTTCCTTTTGTTAGTCTAGTTAGCTAGCAGCATTATAATTAGACAAACTAGAAACTCTTTGGTCACTAGATGCTTTTTGCATTTTGGTGTGTGTGTGTTGGAGTGGAATAGTGGTGACTGCTTTTGTTTTAAGCTAAGTATGATGTGCCCTGCTCAGTTGTGATCTGTGTTGGCAGCTAGGCAGTATGTTCTTTTTTTTCTTCAGGTTTAACAGTGTTTGAGACGGGACAGAGGAAAATAGAAAAAAGGAAGAAATTCAAGGAGAATGATGCATCTAACATTGATGGCTTCTTGGGACCATGGGCAAAATACGTTGATGAAAAAGAAGTAGCTAAGCCCTCAGAAGTAAGTGCTACTTTAATACAACAGATAATACATTGCAGTGCAACGATATGTGGTAGTGGTAGGGGATCCAGCTGTGCAAATAACTTCTGTCAGGTCCAGGCCGTACTTTAGGGTAGTAGAACCATTTCAGGTGATATGTTTGAATAGAGTGTTATCAAAATTTTCAATTATTTGCTAGACTACTTCAAAACTGAATGGATTCTGTGAATGCATAGCTCGTAGGTTCCCATAAGTTGTTTATGAACAGATGTACCTTAAAATGAAGTGCAAATAAAGCTTTTTTATTATTGTTTTTAAACTATATATTTTTTAAAAAAGCCTCCAACCAACACATGTTCTCCTTTCTTAGTCAGTCATGTCTTCCTGTAGTCAATGAATGAGAAGGCTTTTTTTTTTTTTTTGGTGTATGTAGCTCTTCAGACTGTTCTGATTTTGATAAAAATACTTCTCTCCCTTGATCTGTTTTTCTTCCTAAACAGAAATATTTCTAATCCTATTTAGCAAATGAATAAGCATTACTTAGTAAGTAAGTAAATGTTGTTTGGGTTCTGGATTTTATTACATGATTTTAAAAGCCAAGATCATGTTTTACTTTTCCAGGAAGAACAGAAAGAGTTGGATGAAATAACAGCTAAGAGGCAGAAGAGAGGAAAGCTAGAGGATGATAAACCTGGGGAGGAGAAGACTATATTACACGGTAATGCCATCTTCCTGCCTGTTCTCCTCCTCTTAATCTCCCTCTTTGGTCGCCTGCTGTGTTAATTAGTAAGGATGGCAGCACCTCGATGCTTCTGCATTGGAGATAATACAGCATTCACAGCCATAAGCGTAAAGGATATGGAAAGAGATAATTGGACTAGTTCCACTTTATGTTGTGAAGAGCAGTGTGGAAATGTCATCTTTAGGAGTACTCGTTTTATTTATTTATTTTTAATGTTGCTGGACATGCTCACATAACCCTCTGCCATTTTGCAGAACTAAAGCTTTTTAGGTTATAACTTTGGCCTAGTCTCAGCTCCAGAATTAATAGTTTATGTGCTGGTATCTTCATCAGCAAGTACTTATAAAGTACAGCAAGTAGTAATATATATGTGTGTGTGTGTATATAAAGTATATATAAAAGTACTTTAAGTAAATTAATATAAGTAAGTATATATAATAATTCAGAAAATTGTTTAGACTTTGTTTCCTCCATGCTTAATGTAACTTCTTGCTGTCATACCAACTAAAATAGCACAGTCAAATAATAACCTGATGGAAGCCTATACCATATGGTATCTTTAAAGAAAAAATTTCTTGGGTCTCATTTAAATAAGTAAAATCAATTCATCTAGAGGAAACTTAGAACTCTGCATGCAAAACATTTCTGCCTTGTATAGTGTGGGACAAATAGGTAGACCAAGATTCTCTCTTGGTTAACTGCTTTCCTACAGCCAGGTTCACGCGAACAATTTGGAGTGTCCTTTCTTAAAGACATTGAATAGGAATATGAGATATGCATTAGTGACACTGGTAATTCATTCTCTTTATATATAGCTGGCTGTAACAGCGTTTATTAAACAGGGATGAACACGCCAAATTTGAAATTTTATCCATTGAGTTTCCTTGGTCTCAGTAACTTTCCTCAGGTCCTCAGTAATTTCAATCTGTTTATTTTGTATCATTTCTTTCCTGGTTCTTGCCAGGAAATTTCAAAGTGAAAGCACTTACAGGATAAACTTTAATCTTTTCAAATACAAATCTTTTGGAAATCTGCTAATATATCATTTTGCCATGTAAAAGGTCATTTGTGCAGCTATAGCCACTGTAGCGGTATCACAAAAACTGAGGAATTATTTTATCAGAGAACATCTTAATGTCATCACTACCCAACACAAGTCCACTCTGCAATATCCCTAACGCGCTTGTCTGACTGTCCAGTCATTTCTCTTAAATCTGTTTGAAGATCATGTGTTGGCTACTACTGGCCAATACTGTTTCCCAAAGAGGAACTGGATCATTTTCTCCTGTTCTCTTGGTGTGACTGATAACAGCACTGAACTGGTTGGAATGTGAAGCACAAGCAAATGCCAGGGTTAGTTGCACATGTTGTGATCCCTGTAAAGCCATAGCGTCAGTGTAAGCAAACCCTCATTGCCCTGAGGAACTTTTGTAGCTGTTGGATGATGAATAAGACCAAGGGGGAGGAATTTACTGAAGTGACACTTAATTTGAACCCAGCTGATACCAAATAAAATTCCTGATTTGTGTCCTGTTAAGCAAGTTTCTTTTCTTGTTGTTCCGCTTCAGAGTGGAACTTCTGTACTGAGAAAAATCTTAACTGTGTTGGGCAGTTCAGACTTCTTATGACCCCATGAAATGCAGTCTCTTGGATGCTCAGAATTTTATCTTTACCTTTTTAGTCAAGGAAATGTACGACTATCAGGGGAGATCTTATCTTCATGTCCCTCAAGACGTTGGAGTTAATCTCCGTTCTACAGTGCCACCAGAGAAATGCTATCTTCCAAAGAAACAAATCCATGTATGGTCTGGACATACAAAGGTAGGAAGTTTTGTCTGTGACTATCCATCGTAAAAGCATCTCATTTCCTCTCTGAGGCTAGTAACTTTTGTAAGACTGAAGTATCAGTAGAGGGAAGAGATTCCTTCTTATTCTGATATTACCCATGCAGTTGGTTGTGTATATGCCCATGCAAGGCATTTGTATACTCAATTGAGATCTTCTTTGTTTATCTGTATATACTTTTACATGAACGTAATGACTTTTTGACATCTTTTGAGTCAGTTGAGGAACAAATACTCTTCATTAACTTCTACGGGATTTGGAGTTCTTTTATAAACTACCATATGAATAAGCCTAAGGCTAATTCTAGAAACCTCTGAAAATCACCTCGATGTCATTAAAAGCATTGAAGGGCTTTATTTTGTATAAAACTTGTGAAAAATTTTATAGGCTTTGTGATTATAATACAGAGGTATATTATACAATTCCCCAAATATAGCTGTCGACTTCAGAGGTCTATCTTGTTACATGTTCTTTGTGACAGGTCTTGTAACTATATATGTACTTGGTATTAGAGCAGTGTTTCACTAATCAAGCTGGTAAAGTCCTGTATTTGAATTGTTGTTCCTTTGTCTCTAAATTTCAATATTGCTTCAGGGAATATGCTGGTCTTCTACTAGCAGCTCCATAATGGCAAGCAAAAGTGGGCTACCCAAGGTGGATAATACAGGGAGCACTTACCTTTTTTTTAGCTGAGTTTCAGCTCTAAAAGCTTCTTTAAAGATTCCAGCATCAAAGAACTTGTAGCTTTCCAGAATAACAGCTCCCTTCACAGTCCTCTAGTCAGTTCTGTGCTTATCAAGCCATTAGAACAGACTGATTTAAAAAATAGCTTTTTCCTTCAAACAAGCAAGATAAATAAAAATACACTTGGGAGAAGCAAAAGGAAGACAAGCTGACAAGCCAAGAAAAGCTGGAAGAATATAAGGAGGCAACAACAAGGAGGAAAAAGCACTCAACTCCAACCAGAGTGTAAGGAACTAGAGGAGTATG